GGTCCCTGTGCTTTGCTAAGCTTGTTCCAAGTAGGTGCTTTAGGCCACTGAGCCATCTCACCAGCCCTGTGAGAAATATTTTTGAGTCCTGAAAAATCGTGCTTTCTAGAGAGATGAAGAATTATGGAGACATGTTCTATTGTATTGGTGAACGCTGTTATGCAGCTATGGTTTAATCTTTTGTTTTTGGTACAGGGTCTCGCTATGACTGGCAAGCTCAAGGACCTGAGTTCAATCTCTGGTACCACATGCCGTGCCAACCCTGGAACCCTGGGGGTGCTGTGCTAGCTGCGGAAACCGGGCGTGATGGCAAATGCCTGTGATTCTAGTGCTGGGGAGGAGTCAAGGAGTATTTTTAGTACTCCTTGTATTAAAAAGGACAACTGTTGTGTTATATTGCAAAAATGTAAACAACTTCTTCCTTCCCCTGTATTGAGTTCTCTAATGTGTTTTTGCAGCTCTGTCCATCAAGAGACAGAGAGGTTTTCCCCTCTTTTTAATCTGGGATGCCTCATGAGCTGCATAGCCAACTGGCTGCAGCAAACAATGCCAGCAGACACTGGGAAAATCCTTGGTCACTGAGGGTCCCTGTAGTGTTACTCTCGGCAGTGCAGCTGCTACCATGTGACACAGCTGGACTAATTTGCTGGGGGATAAAAGGCTTTTGTCCCAACTGGACAAAAAAGGTTGCATATTTCCTACACTCTAATTTATGTAAGCCAATTATCAGATGAGTGAGGCAGTACATAGCTGGTTGACTACAGACACGAGGGAGCCCAGCTGAGTCAGAAGAACTGGTCAGCTGAGCCTCAGCCCAACCACAACAACTGCGCAGAGTGTGGTCCTCTCAGCCATTAAGTTTTGAGTTGGCTTATTAATTTGTCTACTATGTATGGGGCATGTCTCTTGTTTTAGTGCTTTTTCACAGAACTTTATAGAGAAATACTGTTTTCTTATCTTGGTAGCATCTGTCTGTCTGCTTGCTCAGCCTGTTTTGTCTCTTGGTTATTGACTGCAAAATATTTATAGAGTATTGATTGTATGGATGCTAAAAATTCATGAGATATTTATGTCACTTTGCAGTACATGAAATGAGTTCTTTGCTGTTTTGTTTTCACCAATTTCAGGAAAACATTCCATAAATGGCTTTTAAAAATGCATCTTAGAAAAAAATGCATTTTAGAACTGGGAAGATAGCTTAAGCGCCTGCCTGGCAAGCTCATAGACCTGAGTTTGATCTGTGGTACCACCCGCTGTGCTGGGAGTATGACTATTTAAAAAAAAAGATTGCTAACACTGAAAAAATAAACCAAGAGGAGACAAGTAGGGGAAAATGGCTCGTAGTATTCATTCACAGAGTAGAAGTCAGAATGCCTCACTCATTGATTCATATACTAATGCTGGACTAGCTGTTGAGTCCTGAGGGAGTTAGAGCTGCTTATTCTTTCTTATCACCTGCCCCTTTTCTTTGACTAATGTCTTTCTATGGTTTTCATTAGTTTTTCCCTAATGGCTTTTCTGAATGGAGACCGAATGATTTTCTCTTTGTATAATATAGGAATAACACATATTAGTGGTTGGAATTGGGGTTAGTGAGGAAGGAGGAAAAGAAAATAATAATACCAAAATCCCAAACTGGCTTTGGATTCAGTAGGTGTGATTTGAATCCCGTCTCCATCTTTAATGACAAGGAAATAAGCCTCTATTTTTCACTTCTGTAAAATGTGCTATATCATTCATTCTATTGTGTGGGTATTGTGAGGATTTGAGATAAATATAAAACTTCTATTAGTGTATTGTCTCCTTAGTAAAGAGTAAATTTACTGAATCTGAAAGATAAAATGGATATTGTAAAAAAGAAATAAACTGTTCAAATGGAAGGAACAAGTTAGATGAAGGAAAGGTGAAAAGAAAGAAAGAAGGAAGGGGAAAAGAAATATATATGTATATACACAGGATAGCTTGGATAATTGTATTGCTTATTTCTGCTGGTCTATTGAAGAGAGAAATTAGTGTTTAATTTTTTGTCTCTTTTTAAATTTTTCACAATTTTTCTTAGCCAATCTTACAGGCTTATGTCTGATAATCTGAACAACTAATTTGAAGACAACAATATGCAATATAACAACTATTGTTGGGGCCGGGGAGATGGCTCAGTAGAATAAGTGCTTGCCTGACAAGTGCAAGGGCCTGAGTTCAATCCCGGGTTCCGCAAAACGAAACAAAACAAAAACCCCCAAAACAGTAAACCCTACATTACTTAGTCTGGGCTACTTATTTTAAATTCCTTCCAAAACTCTCAGTTTATTTATTTATTTATTTATTTATTATTTTTTTGGTGAAACCAGGGTTTGAACTCATGCCCTTGCACTTGCCAGGAAGCACTTATTCCACTGAGCCGTCTCCCCAGCCCCCTCGCAGTTTATTTAAAAAAAACTTCATATATCCCTATACTAAGTTATGTTATGTTTTTGTTTTTTCCCCCCAGAACTGGGGATTGAACTCAGGTCCTTATGCTTGCCAGGAGAGCGAATATTCTACTGAGCCATCTCTCTGGCCCCTATGCTAAGTTAAATGATCAAGTTAACACATAAAGTGTCCAAAGTTCAGAATGGATAGAAAGGTAGTTATTCTTTTAATACCTCTTTTATAGGTTTAAATATACAGAAACATGTTGGAAATACACTCTTAGTTCAAATAGTGAGTTTACAAAATATACTAAGATGAGAACTGCAGTGAACAGCAAACCTCACAAAATTTGCAACTCCCCAACCTAATTTAATTATTTGACATCTTTTAGATGGAGGGTAGGGTTAATTACCAAGTATATTAGTGAAACATAGATTCCATATTTCTTCGTAAATACAGTAACTGGATATGATAGCTAGTGAAGCAAGCATGTGATATTTAGTTTGTTAACAGTTCCAGAGCCATTCATGCAGAAAACTTTAACGCTGGCAGGAATTTAGCCATCTTGACAATTACAATAGATGAAAAGGAGTGTGAATATTGGCTTTGAAAAAAATCCCATGGTATAAAGGCCTTCTAGTATTCCCTAGGTTAGCATGCTCCTTCGTTTCAGAGCTCTTCATTTTGCATAATATTCTAATCACCAAGTAGGGTCAAAGTAAGCCCAAGACCCTTTGAGTTCATATGCCCACTGTTTAAATGGTCAATCTGCCTCAACCTGTAAGGACATGATCTTACATGCAATTTCTTTTTTTTTTCTTTTCAAAGTTTTATTGATAAACATATAGCAATGAGACAGTTTCAAATCAAATCAAAAGTACAGTTTCAACAAATAATACACTGCATACATTCTTCTCAGTTGTTAATTGCTGTACAAGATGCAGACTTGTGATCCTACTTACAAACGCCATTAGAAAAAATCATTCTATTCATTAAGAGAATGCAACTATATATCTATCCCAACCACTTTGAATACACAGATACAAAATGGACATTCATAGTTATACCCCAATTTTTTTAAGTTCCGTTGTTGAATATTATAGGTGTGTAAACTCAGCAAAATATTCTAAAAGAGTACAGAAGCCCATAATATCATTGTGTCTTCTGTTTAACTGGCAATGTCAGAAATTATTGACCTGAGTCCCCCACAGCTCAACATAACAACATGGCTTTACTTCCTATATTTCATCTTCATACTTTTCTACTGGATGGTTAAGACCAAGGTAAAGCAGGACCTGTGCAACAAGAGTTGTAGCTTTTTGGTCTGACAAGGTCAGTGAAATGCCCTCAGGATTTATCTTGAGATCCTGTACCTCAGATTGTAGAACCTTTGTCAGTGTCAGCCATGTGGATGAGTCATGGCCAATGCTTGGCCTATGTGCTCTCTGTGAAAGCCTGAGAGAGTGTCTTCTCCCCATGTGACTCTCCTTAGGCACACTCTACGTCATCGATCACTTTCCTCTTTGGCCCCATTATCTTCTTGATCAGAAAATTTGGGACACTACCGAGGTACATGACGTTACAGTACAAGTTCTCATATGTCCTGAGTCTTAATTGACCTTAGAAGGGTAGGGCTTACATGCAATTTCTGTAAACACCACTAAGTCTCTTTAACAAAGAATCTGCTTACATAGGGCTGCAGTGCAAATCCTCCCTCTACATCCATTAGAAGCTGCAGTTTGTAGAAAACACAGTTCCTGAAACCAGACACTTTTTTTTTTCCTACGAAGAAAGAGGAGTCTTAGTTTGAATCGGGATTTTCCTCTAGAGGGAGACATAGTCCAGCATTTACAACTATCACCACGTTCCCCCTCACCTTCTTACTGTCTTGCTTTTGCAGGACCGCAGTTTGCTCTGAGCAGCAGAACTAGCAGTTGAGAAGAGGAGGGGAGGCCCCGCCGCCCGGCCCTGCCGTCCCATTTTGCTGCTTAACTCAGCCTGGAGTGGCAGCACCTATCAGCTCCCAGCTTTCTCTCCGCTCAGGGGACAGTAGCTTCGTGCTGTCTGCACGGCTAGCCGGGGTGGACCGGGATTCCAGAGTGGAACAGGGGGGGCTGCCCTTTCAGGCGACTTTCTAGAGACCACCCCTAGTGTATTTTGACAATACATCGCCTTGGGGGTGGTGACGCCTGGACAGGTTTTGACTGCGTTTGGTTTACTTCTTTTTCACTCTGGTGATCTGGATTTATTTCCCGGAGCCCCCCTCTCTTCCACCCCACCCCCTTTATAGAAGGGACACTGGCGACACAGGCAACACCTGCTAGCTCGCTCGTTTTCGGCCGGAACTCTCCTCTGCTCGGCGGTGACTGGGACAGCAGAGGGGTCCCTTCCCTCGCGTGCAGGATGCCTGGGGGGCGGCCCTCGGAGGCGGGGCGGAGGTGCTGCGGCGCGCCCCGAGTTGCTGCTAAGTGACTCCGAGAGGGAGGCGGCGGGACCCGTGCACGGACTGCGGACGAGGGGCGCCGAGCCAGGAGCGCGGGAGTCTTGTGGGGGACACCGGCCGAGCCCCGAGTCTTCCCTCTTTCCGCCCCGAGCAACCCGAGCAACTACTCCGCCTCCGAGACCCTCAGCGATCAGCGCCGGGGAGCCCGGGCGGTGCGTGACCTGGAGAGCCGAGGCCGCGACCCCGAGGTGGAGCGTCGGAGCCGTCACCTCTCCCGGGAGAGCAGGGGGCGGGCGGGGAGCGGGATGTGCGAGCGCGCGCGCGTGTGAGCGGCGACGCCGGGCGAGAGGAAAGTCTTCGCTCGGGGTTAAAAGCAAACAAATCAGAGATGGAATAAGCGCGGTAATTGCAGCGAGCCCGCCTGGATCTCCGCAGTCGGGAGCGGAGCGCAGCCCGCGAGGACGCAGGCGGCCGGAGCGAGCGCTGCCGGGGCTGCGGGACCCGCGCTCCCTCGCTCCTGCCTGAGCGGATCCTGTGATCACTTTGACATTGTGCGGTGGAGAAGAGGGGCGCGATCGGGCGCCGCGCTCCACCTTGCGCTGGCTTCGGGGAGACTCCAGTTTGCATGAGAAGAGATTCCTGAACCCTCGTTGCCATCGGAGCTGGAAACACACTCGCGCGCGCGCACACACGCACGGTCAGGGCCACACTCAGCCCGCCACGAGCACACACCGCCCGGCTCCGCGTCCCTATGCCCCTGGATGGTGACGGCGGATTGGCATCCTGGAAGCGATGCGAGAGCGATAGGGCTGGCGCCGGCCCGAGGAAGCTGCAGGGACCTCGCTAGGTGTTGCCGCCTCCGGGAATCCCGGCTGCAGGTAGGCAGGTGCGACCGCGCCTCCGGACGCCGGGCTCTGGGGACCGCGGGCTCGGAAGCCCCCCAGGCACGCGTCCCTCTTTCTTTCTCGCGGGCTCGGGACTGTGCGGGTGGTTGGTGGTGGCCGGAGGGAGGCGAGAGATCGGGGCAGAGGCTCTCGCAACCGGCCTGGCTAGGGCGGAACGGAGCGACGCCGAGAGGGACCCGAGTGCCCAGGGAGGCTGCGGAGCGGTACCCTCTCTTCTCTGCCCCATTTCTCGGCGGAGGGACGCGAGCGTGTGGAGGACTGAAGAGGGTTTTAATTCGATCGATCCGTCACCCAGACCAATCCTGGCCGGTAACCATTTTGAACTCCTACTTCGGAGTTGAGGGGTCGTGTTCAAGGGACAATCAACGATCAAGGGAATGTGTCAGGTCGCCTGTCATAAATCCCTACTTTCTGTCCACTTCTGATTAGTTAATTCTCGGGCCTGTCTGCAGAGGGTGGGCGTTTCAGAGAGGCTATTGATTCCTCCACCTCAAACTACTGAATTTTCATAAAGAATCACGCTATAAGTTCCGGAGCCTCATCTATTTAAAGGGTTATTTAGATTTAGGGACAGAGTCTTTATTCATGAATAGGGCTTTTGTAAAGGCTACTAAAAGGGATCCTTTGATGAACAGCGTTCAGAAAAAAGGAAAACAGCTTCGGGGAAACTATTTTTCATTTTTTTCTGATTAGATGTTTGACAGATCTTGCTAATCTATTCTAAAAGGCTTGCTTCTATTCTAAAAGGCTAGGTGTCTACCACGAGGTGTTTTCTTTAGGCTACTGATCTTCACTTATCACCGGGGAACGAGGTATTTCCAGAAACTGCTTTTGAAAGGGAAAGTTGAAGAGTCGTCGCCCCATTTCGCCTACAGCTGCAGTTTGAGCTCTCCAGTTTCCGCCTGAGAAGGTTGAACCCGGATTCTGGAAGAGCCCTTGGGGTAGCCAGGGTGCAGTGCTAGCCTGTTCTGTATTCCACTTCCTCACCGAGAGCTAAACAATTGCCTGAAAGGTCGGCAATCTAAGGGGTAGTGACTAGAGTGGCCCGCTCCTGCTCACCTTGTGCTGGGTGTTTGGCTGGTGGCAATAAGAGAAAAAACACCCCCCCCTTTTTTTGTGAGTGTGAAATCCTCTCTTGAATTTTATAAAGTTGTTTGTGGGATAAAAAACCCACTAGAACCGTCCAGGCCCCTGCAGTCTTCTCCGGAAACTATCCCCAAAGCACTCAGTTATGAGGGTCCTCCTCTCAGGACAGAATTAATTTCAATGACTATTGACTAGGTGGTAATTATCTGGTTCCTGTCTTCCCAACTAGATTGTTTTAGAAGTCTGCACTCAGGTGTTATCAATTGACAGTTTAAAACTGCTCAGTTAGGCAATGTAAGCTAAGACAAAAGAGGAATTAATTTAAGATTTCCAATCAAAGTGATAAAACAGTAAAGGAAATTAAAAATACATCTAGGACTTAAGAAAGTCCAGAGCATTAGAATTACTTGTATTCACTCCAGCTTCTCTGTGTGCACATGTTCTTTCAGATGGGTGAATCAATTACCATTTTGGAACTGACACCTTACATCCATAATTTTTTCCTTTTAAATTTTTTATTAGTACATATTTTTAAATAGAACATCCGGCATGTTTAATTTAATTGTCTCTTTTCCTACTTTATTCTGGATCTCATCCCAAGTCTGTTGGATTTTAACCTTTTTAGAACCCTAATTTTTTTTTTTTTAAAAACCACATTACTAACCACTCAAAGGACATCAATAACCTCACTGCAGCTGAATTTATTTTCATTTTCCTAATTTTCAATGAAAACAAGTGAGTCATATTAATAGATATGACTTAGATATAATAAGACTTTGAGAACTATCTTTCTGCCAACTGAATACCTAGATACTGGGAGTCATTTAAGAGGCAAATACAAATGCAGTTTTAGTGTGTTTTATTTAAAGGAAGTATTATTTTGAGATAAAAGTCTTGAGTCTCTTATATTTTTTGAAATACAGTAGCTTGAACTCATATTTACACATAATGCCAACATATATATCTCTTAAAGAAGAACCTAAACACCTTGACATTACAGCAAACACCTATGTAATTCTACAAGTTATGCTAGAGGGGGATCTAAGGTTTTTAGATCTGTGATTCTGAATTGGGAAAAATACTGTTTTAACAATGACAAACTGAAGAATGAAGATCCTTTAGCTTGCTCATAGACCTGTGTCAGAATGGAAATATATTGCTTCGAGACTGCATTATAGTATTTACTAACCACCAAGCTATAAAATGTGATGACATGACTGTAAAAAGGAAACCTGTTTTTAGACATGGCCACTTTTCCTTTTTAAAAATTTATAAAACGATGAAACTTGGGGGATGATAGAAAATTTTAGAAGGATTATTTTATGCCCTATCAGAAAATTCGAATAGTCATGAATCCAAGATGGTTCACAAAGTGCTTGGATGATCATCTTCAAATATATTTTCGTATTGAAATGTACGAAGGACCTTTTCAGGTTGATTGAGCATTAATTGCATGCTATGGCTACCCTGTAGAGAAAGGGTGAGGTGGGTCCCTCCAGCATTTTCAGGGCACTTCTTATCATGGCCCCTAAAAAACAGCGCTGTCAGATTGTGCCCAAGTTCAGCTGTAACTGCACACCACTGAACAGTTACTGATGAGCTTTCTAATGCATGTCTCAAACAAGGAATATTCCAAAGTGTCATCAGTTCTTTCCAATATACTTGAAGAGATGAAACAACCAGAGTGCAAACAGTTCAGTGCCCCTGCTTTTAATTCTCTAATATTTTATTAGGGATGCCTCATTAAGTCACATTATTCTGCAGCTGTTTTGCTCATTGAAAATTCAAGGAAAAAATAAGGAACTTTACGGTGCAGTGCAATTTTGTTTTCTTGGTGAAAAGTCATAAATTGAAATGAAATAAGCATCCCATGTAGTCCCCTTCGACCTATGCCTGACATTTACAAATGCAATTCATCAATCTATTATTAGTAGGGCTCCATCGAAACAATGAGAAGAAATGCACTAATACAGATTGCTGCTAGATCCGAAGGCCAAGCCATAATCAACTTCGTATCTGCCCACGCACGTGCACAGCCCTTCATGCCATGTCTTGCTTTTGAATCATTGGTTTTTGTCATGATGTATAACATAGTGAATTTGCTGTTTTGTTTGAAAATCTTCGATCATTTTGAACTACTTGGAAAACATAGAACTATTTAATTGTTCCATTGAAACAAAAAGAGTCATTTTACAATGAGTTGCCATGAGTCATTTTAAAGAACGGCTTTACCTTTGCTTTGGAGCACAGTTTGATATGAATGATAGCCAGGAAGACCAAGAAGTTAGTTTCTGGTTTTTTGTTGTCATTGGCCATTGACTGACTCCGTAAATTCCAGAAAATCTGACTCTATTCATTCAGTGCAGAGATTCAGTGTTCCTATAAATGAAATAAAACTAATTTTTAACTTTTGCAGAAATTTTAGACTATTACAATGTGAAATAAGTAATATTTAAATCTATAAAATCTCTCTATATATGCACACAGACATAGACACACACATATAGACACACACAGAGATACACACAAAAGTTTTAATGACACTCATGTAAAATAATGATTTTTTTTGAATGGGCAAGAAAAACTATAAAAAGTCCACATTTTTAGACATATAGTTTTTCAGTATTTTATATCACTTAACTTGTAGCATAGTTGTACCCATAATTTAACAAGGTTGTTTATAATTGAGTTTTATTGTTTGAGCTACAGTTACATACGGTATATTTTTCTTCCAAATATAACTTTATTTGCTAGGCAACAAATGCAAAATAAAATCCATTTTATGCTCAATGTAGAGACATTTTGGAATGTGTATATTGACACCACAGCTGGGAATTCCAACACATTTTAAACATTCAATATATTTATATGTTGCCTTTATTAAATATATCCCTCCCCAGTCAAAACACAAGCCATGCTTTACATTGAAGCCTACTATTGCAGTTTGCCATCTACAAATTTCCCTGAAATATTTGATGTTACACCCCCAGATTATGTAAGGTTTCCAAAGCCCACCTCCTTCCAATGTGTGTGCCACATGCCTGTGCTAGATTTCTTCTTGGATAGTAGATAAGTGAGCTAATAACTGGAATCGACGTAAATCGGCTCACTTCTGCAACTGATCATTATCGTCACTGGGAAAGAAGACTTCTGCTTGGATATGAAATGAAAACTGAATATATAATCCCTAAAAAAGAATATTCTGTTTTATCCACAGGGGCCCATAGAAAGTAGGACATAACTGATGGATCAATTTATTTGCTTATGTTAAATTAAACTCTTTTCATCAGTTCCTCCAGCCTCCTAAATTATTCCACAGTGGCTGTAATTATTTTAAAATTTCCCCTGAATGGCCACGTAGTAAAGGTACATTCTCCTTTCCTCTAGCAATAGTAGTATTGCTACTGTACAAATGTAGCATTTCAATTAAATTTATATTCATATTGATTCTTTTTTAAAAATATTTTTAATCATTTATTTATTTATTTATTTATTTATGTATTCAGTACAGGGTCTTACTGCGTAACTCGGAGTTGTAGTGATCCTCCTGTCTCAGCCTTCTCAGTGCTGGGAGTACAGGCACAAATCACCATGTCTGGTTCCTGAGGCCGATTTGGTGTGCCCAAGGTTCCGGGGCCAGCATAGCATGTGGTAACGGAGACCACACCCAGGTCCTTTCGCTTGCCAGGCAGGTGCTTAGCCTGCTGGGCTATCTCCCCAGCCATATGTCTTCTGTTATACAGTAGAATTTACAAATGCTTTACAGTCAGATTCAATAATGTGATAAGGCTGCATTCTAGCAATTATGGTAAGGGGCTGAGTTTAGTACTTTGACAACATGGACAGGACTCTCTAGAGAAGTAAGCCTGCTTAGCTGTTTTTTTTTC